ACACGCTCAGAAAGCAAAGCGTCGGGACCAAGTCCAAGCAAGCGCTGGTCAACAGTAACAATGACTCTCTTCATGTAGTGAGATGTTCCCATTGCCTCCTATCACTTCAACCACCATGTCAGTGCTTCAGTGAGGTAAGAACACCCAATTTACTGCTAACACCCCAATTGAACCCGAGAGGGAGAAACCGCAATTGACTGAATGTCAATTTACTGAGTATGAGAACACCTAATTTCTTAGATACTAATTTCACTCAGTTTGAATTGTTGATTATGGTGAGCTCAGGGATGCAGAGGTCAAACTAGTGAACAAGGGGAGAAAATAACACGCAAGTGCAATTGTGGTGGCAACAATCCCGTAGAGGAAGATTGGTTCGCTTATAAAGGTGGGAGAGCTAGTAATTCCACCTCTCGGGAAGTTGGTCAAAGACTCGGCTGCCGTTGTGGAGAAATTCTGGATTTGCCGTTAATTACTTTGAATAAATAAGAGTGCAATGAGTTGACACAAATGGGAATAAAAATGGACAATGCGCGAGTGATGATCATGAGGGAAGCAATGAAGAAAAACCAACGAAAAATGTTGAAGAACATACAAATGTATGGAAATATAGCCCGAAGGCAAGAGACAAACGTACAAATAAACAAGAGGACGAGGAAGAGAGCAAGCACGGGAGAATGTGATCCTTGCATGATGGTAGATAGAAGGTTTCCAATGCTTTGGATGATGGCGTCCGCACTATTGTTTTGAAAAAAAGAAAGAGGATTCATTATGATTCACGAGAATCAATTGATTTCTGACTCACGTCAAGAGACAAGTGTTACGCTAAAATAGCGAAGACTGGCAGTGGAGTTTGGAGCATGCGTCAAGACGGAGACGTTGAGAGTTTGTTGAACATGTGATGTTTTCATGGCGAGTGCAGCTAGCTAGCACGTCAGATTATTCGATTTTTGATTCATCTCACTCAGTGTAGATTGTTGATTGATGTCACTCAGTGTAAATTGTTGATTCATCTCACTGTAAATCGTTGATAAATCTCACTCAGTAAACTGTTGATAAATCTCACTCAGTGTAAATTGTGGATAAATCTCACTCAGTGTAAACTGTTGATAAATCTCACTCAGTGTAAATTGTTGATAAATCTCACTGTAAATTGTTGATTGATCTCACTCAGTGTAGATTGTTGATTCATCTCAGTGTAAATTGTTGATTCATCTCCGTGTAAATTGTTGATTCATCTCAGTGTAAATTGTTGATTCATCTCAGTGTAAATTGTTGATTCATCTCAGTGTAAATTGTTGATTCATCTCAGTGTAAATTGTTGATTCATCTCAGTGTAAATTGTTGATTCATCTCAGTGTAAATTGTTGATTCATCTCAGTGTAAATTGTTGATTCATCTCAGTGTAAATTGTTGATTCATCTCAGTGTAAATTGTTGATTCATCTCAGTGTAAATTGTTGATTCATCTCAGTGTAAATTGTTGATTCATCTCAGTGTAAATTGTTGATTCATCTCAGTGTAAATTGTTGATTCATCTCAGTGTAAATTGTTGATTCATCTCAGTGTAAATTGTTGATTCATCTCAGTGTAAATTGTTGATTCATCTCAGTGTAAATTGTTGATTCATCTCAGTGTAAATTGTTGATTCATCTCAGTGTAAATTGTTGATTCATCTCAGTGTAAATTGTTGATTCATCTCAGTGTAAATTGTTGATTCATCTCAGTGTAAATTGTTGATTCATCTCAGTGTAAATTGTTGATTCATCTCAGTGTAAATTGTTGATTCATCTCAGTGTAAATTGTTGATTCATCTCAGTGTAAATTGTTGATTCATCTCAGTGTAAATTGTTGATTCATCTCAGTGTAAATTGTTGATTCATCTCAGTGTAAATTGTTGATTCATCTCAGTGTAAATTGTTGATTCATCTCAGTGTAAATTGTTGATTCATCTCAGTGTAAATTGTTGATTCATCTCAGTGTAAATTGTTGATTCATCTCAGTGTAAATTGTTGATTCATCTCAGTGTAAATTGTTGATTCATCTCAGTGTAAATTGTTGATTCATCTCAGTGTAAATTGTTGATTCATCTCAGTGTAAATTGTTGATTCATCTCAGTGTAAATTGTTGATTCATCTCAGTGTAAATTGTTGATTCATCTCAGTGTAAATTGTTGATTCATCTCAGTGTAAATTGTTGATTCATCTCAGTGTAAATTGTTGATTCATCTCAGTGTAAATTGTTGATTCATCTCAGTGTAAATTGTTGATTCATCTCAGTGTAAATTGTTGATTCATCTCAGTGTAAATTGTTGATTCATCTCAGTGTAAATTGTTGATTCATCTCAGTGTAAATTGTTGATTCATCTCAGTGTAAATTGTTGATTCATCTCAGTGTAAATTGTTGATTCATCTCAGTGTAAATTGTTGATTCATCTCAGTGTAAATTGTTGATTCATCTCAGTGTAAATTGTTGATTCATCTCAGTGTAAATTGTTGATTCATCTCAGTGTAAATTGTTGATTCATCTCAGTGTAAATTGTTGATTCATCTCAGTGTAAATTGTTGATTCATCTCAGTGTAAATTGTTGATTCATCTCAGTGTAAATTGTTGATTCATCTCAGTGTAAATTGTTGATTCATCTCAGTGTAAATTGTTGATTCATCTCAGTGTAAATTGTTGATTCATCTCAGTGTAAATTGTTGATTCATCTCAGTGTAAATTGTTGATTCATCTCAGTGTAAATTGTTGATTCATCTCAGTGTAAATTGTTGATTCATCTCAGTGTAAATTGTTGATTCATCTCAGTGTAAATTGTTGATTCATCTCAGTGTAAATTGTTGATTCATCTCAGTGTAAATTGTTGATTCATCTCAGTGTAAATTGTTGATTCATCTCAGTGTAAATTGTTGATTCATCTCAGTGTAAATTGTTGATTCATCTCAGTGTAAATTGTTGATTCATCTCAGTGTAAATTGTTGATTCATCTCAGTGTAAATTGTTGATTCATCTCAGTGTAAATTGTTGATTCATCTCAGTGTAAATTGTTGATTCATCTCAGTGTAAATTGTTGATTCATCTCAGTGTAAATTGTTGATTCATCTCAGTGTAAATTGTTGATTCATCTCACTCAACAGAAAAGTCATAGGGTAGCGAGATGGCGTGATCGTCCACTAGAGTCATGGCACAGATTTTCCATCGCTGTGTCCGCGTGTTGTCTAGTCACTTCCCACGTCTGGGAGCTTTCTTTTTTCTTTGTCCCACCGCTGTACAAACTTGGTGCCTGCTGGCCCTCAACTCCCCCAACCCGCCGGTTCGGCAACAGCTCTTTGACAGATCACGAACCAACTTCTCAGAACCTCGTCAAGGGAACACTCCAAAATATGTGGTGCAAGCTGGTGTGGGACTGGTTTTTTGGCTGTCGAAGTCCCACATCTACAGTCCCACATCTTGAAACACTTCACTTACTCGAACTGTATTCATCTGTTGTTGGGAGTGTTTCAGTCGACGAATTTTCGATGTCATTCATCTTTCGCGTGTTTGTTGTATTTTCTCTGGTCCTCTCCTTCACTATCGCACTCCCTAACAACTGCTGGGACTGCGTTAAAGAACCAAATGCGTTCTGGTGCAAACACAGTAAGTGCTGTCGTGATGGACGATCTGTTCTCAAAAGATGCTTTATAAAGACATTGTTGTAATTCAGAGGTTTGGTGAGGGATGTTTCAATGACAAATGTTATGTGGGTCAACGAGTGACGGATTGTGCTTCAAAGGCTACGCATTCCGCTTTGGCTGTTGAATATCTTGGAGCACTTGCAATTGCCGCTGCAGCTCATGTTGCTATCTAAGTTTTTTAGTGTAATAATTTAGATTTTTTAGTGTGATATAGCAAGGAATCTGAGCCGTGATGCATTTCGGTTTTTTAGCTTTTTTAGTATTATGATATTTTAACTAACTCGAAAGTGGTTAATGCCAGAAATGCGAAAAATCCCCGCAACAGGGAAGAGCTCAAACTGGAAATCGAATAGTCTCACCCAGTGTAAATTAATTGATTTATAGAGGAGACAATATGAGAAACCGGCTCTCATCAACATTATTGCCCAGAAAGCCATGGGTCACAGATATGGCCATAAATAAAAAATATGAAAAGTTGCGGGTCTGAACTTTTCTCAATCTCTAAATTTTTATGCTGCGACTGGACATATAATTGTGTGGCACCCAAATTTTTGATCCAAGCATCATATTGGTTGGACGTCCTCAGTGGTGCCACAGATTTGTAGACTGACTGTTGCAATAAGGAAGTGGATAATAGTAAATAAACTTCGTGAACAAACTTCGTGAATCCGGCGTGCTGTCTATTTAACGTCCCTTTTTCAAGTGTCCTGTTGAACGCGCTGCACGTAGAGAGTGTTTATACCAGGTGCAGCAACAGATCTCCTGAAAGACCTAGACCATCATACTGACCTCCAAACATTCAATTTTTGGGCGATTTTTCTCTCAAATATCTTCAGAAGGTTCATTCGCCATCTGAATATTCTATTTGTTGCTCCAAATTTTATTCCGGCCCGCATCCTTGACAACTCGCTGTAAATCTCCTTCTCACAATTCCTATTCATGGGTTGCACCAACAGCAAAACGCGTGATAAACATCGGTCCAGCTCCAATGTATCGGATTCTTCTGAGCTTCCGTTTCAAGCCTCAAAGGCAAGTTTGATTTTCTATACATCATCAAGTGGGAAGCTGTGTAGGATTGATGTTTTGCTTGTATAGGCGGGTCAAGGGGTCAGTGGAGTTGAAGCCCGTGGAAATTATGTGCTTTCAGCGGGACTCCCCGCTGATGCTTTGAAAGATGTCAACGATGATCCTGATGCCCCAATTGTGGAGCGGGGTCCTATTGCGCTAGAGAACGGACTGGTCTATACGGGCCAAATGAAGGTAGCATGAATTATAGTAACGCGTTCCGGAATTATAGTAATGTCCCGGGATTATAGTGTCAATTCTAGCGATGTCCCGTGGTCGCGTCCATCGTGCTTTTAGTCTCAAGTCGGAATTGTCCGGATTTCAGGGTCGGAAGAAGCACGGAAAAGGACGGCAAGTTTGGCCCGATGGCGCAGAATTTAACGGGGAGTGGAAGGACAACGTCGCATGTGGGAAAGGAATCTTCAAACATGCTGATGGAGATGTTTATGAGGGTGATTGGGTGGGAGACAAGGCAAATGGCTTTGGATTATTGAGGCATGCGGATGGGTCAACATACGAGGGCGAATGGAAAGATGACTTGAACCATGGAAAAGGAAAAGAAACGTGGGCCGATGGATCCAAGTTTGAAGGCACCTACATGTAAGATGGATACTCTCATGATGCCCAGTGGCGGATGTTGGGACAGTTTATTGCAGAAGATGTTGCATTGTTGAATCCCAACTTGATGTTAACCAAAGAAATATGCAGTTCAATCAATTTGCAATTTCACTCAATTTGTTTTCATCAGAAACGGACGAAAAGAGGGCCGGGGTGTGTTCGAATGGCCTGAAGGATCGAAATATGTTGGAGAATTCCACAATAACGAGATTGAGGGTTGGGGTCGATATGATTGGCCTGATGGACGGGTGTATTGCGGCCAATGGATGGACAATAAAATGCATGGGTTCGGGTGGTTCTTCTGGTTTAATGGCCAGATTTATCGGGGAGAGTACGACCAGGTGAGATGGTATCCTAATGGATTAACATGCATGTTCACATGATTCTATGCGTGATGCATGACCAAGCTGTACATGTTCATGTATCATCATGCATGATTTCAGGACAAGAAGGAAGGCTGGGGTGAATTTTTGTGGCCTGACAAGAAGGTCTATCGGGGCTGGTGGAAATCCGGAAAGCAAAATGGATTCGGAACGTTCCAATCACCAAAGGGTGAAGAGCGTTGCGGTGAGAGAAATCACAAAAATCTATATTACAGACACATTCTTTGATGCTTTTATGAAGAATGTATTTATTATTCTTAATTTCTCTGTTCTCTCAATGTTGGGGGAACTGTTTAGCTGCACTTGTCATTGGTATCGATTTTGTTGAGGAAGAGATTTTGTTTTTTTGAAAAACCGAGGAAGAGTTTTTTTTTTTCAGGGGTGTGGCAAAATGGTCAAAGATTGGACTGGCTTGGCACTGCAGAAGAGGTTGCGAACTATAAGCAGCAACATAACGTCGCTGAGGATCCTACTCTCCCGTCGTTGCCCGAATGGTTGCAAGAGCTCTGGTGAGTCAATCAAAAAAACAAAATCTGCTTGGATCATCTCCTTCTTGCTCTTTCAGTGAAGATGCATATCCCGCTTGGTACAAGGAGCACGTTAAAATTTCAAATGGTGCATGATAGTTTTTTCGAACAGTTCTCTCTTATATTGTTGGGGATGCGTTTGTACCGTTCATTTCTGTATTTACGCGCTTTTGAGAGAACGTACCGAATTAAAATTTGATTTGTTGGACATCTCCTCCTTGTTTGCACTCGTTCTTTTAAAAAAAAACCGATTTTCTGATCCTTACTGTTTGTCATGATAATCCAGAAGTATTAAGCAGAATACCAAGTTGGGTGACGGGTAGAGGACATCTGTACAGTGCATCTCTATTCGCTCTTGAGCCGATATTTATATATATCTGCGATCAAATCAAAAACTCTCTACAAACAAATTCAATCATTAGATTTTTTGTCTTTTGCAAAACTGATATGTTTTTTCAGCATTCTATTGCTTTTGTTTGATCATTAGTGTTTGAGTCGAAATTAGATTGTTTAAGCTAATTTTTCTTAATTCCCCAAATTTGTCAATATTCGAATATTCGGGAATGGTTTTATCTTTTTTGAAGTTATTAATCATTGAGATTTTTTTAACATCTGCTATCGGTGATGACGTATCCCATCTGAGTCAATTGATTGGATGTCCCAATGGTTCAATCTGTGATTTCGATACCGGCTGCGACTGTCTCACATCCAACGGAACGTCCCAAATCGATGGCGATGCGTTCTTCAATTGTGACGAATTTGAAAGCGACACGTGCGCCCGAAGATCACTTTTTGTTCCTACTTTAGTGTCCCAAGCTCAAACGTTTCTGTCCCAAAGTTTTCCTCCCAATTTCGTCTCTCTGAAGTCAAAAGAAATCCGACTTCTCCTCGAACTCGGAAAACAGAATCGTCGACTCCAAGAAACTGACGGAACGCTGACTGACGGAACGCTGACAGGCGATGTTGCGAATGTCCCAAGCACCAGGGAATCGGATCCCTCAATACCAATTGGAAGGGAGTGCCAGGAGGACACTGATTGTCTCAATCGGTTTGGCCGATGTGAAAGGGGGAAATGCAGAGGTGAGTCCCGTTCATGCTCCCCAACAGTGGGATCCTTCTGTGGGATCCTTCTATTAGATCCTTCTATCGTACTTTCAATTGATTCTGACAGGGTTTTATCCTGATTTGACGGATGAGCGTCTCGTTCGGTGTGTTGATGGTTACCGTTGTGATCTCAAGAAGGGAGATCTTCCAGGAGTCGATATTGGGATTGATATGCAAGTGATAGCAATCAGTCCATCGGAAAAATGTGGCGCAGTCGATCCATTAAAATCAACGCGTAAGAAAGCACGTGCTTCTGTTGTACAGGCAACTTAGTAGTTTGTGATTCATCGCGAAGAAGACTTCCGTTGTGAAGAATATTTTGAGATGTGTGAATCCTCTACTTTCGACTTGTTGACTGTTTCATTGAATCAATTCTCTCTTAGAGTCGATTTTCGGAAATTCAAATCGATGGCAGTGCGACAATGGTGTTCCGAACAGTTGCACGTTTTCAGCAGGTGTAGGACAGAGGCGGAACCGAACAGCGACAGTCGAAGGAGTCCGACTTTGCGGATGTCCCAATGTCGATGGAGACGGCAATGGGAAGCCATGCGACAACCGGCGCGAATTCTACGTTCCTTTGGGACGTTTGTCTGTCCAGGAGTGCATCCGGAACGCGCACTGCATCGACCACCAATTCGCGTATTGCGTGTATGACCATTGCGCTGGTGCTTCTGGCGTTGCGGCTTCGGCAGGCTTGAAGGCGTTCCAATGTATTGTTTCACGGACATGCGACGTTCGGTCAATTTCATCAAAGGTCGGATGTTGACGCGCGTGTAAACCAAACATTTAACTATCTTCTTTCGTGCTGCTCCTGATCGATCTCATGTTTTAAGTGTTTTTTTTATTTTTAATGTTTTTTCAGGCTTTGGGTGAAGCTTTGAAAGTCCTCCCGATTGCGTCTAGTTTCAATTGCGGAGCTGATTCTGCTTTAGATCCAGATATCATTGACGACGCTTCGCTCCCGTGTGTTGTGGATATCAATAATGATGGTGTTTGTGAAATTAATCTTGGAATTGCGAAAGCTTTGGGAACGACGCGATTGTGCGGTTGCTCTGGAGATAAAGGTGTGACAAAATTGAGCGTGGGATGACAATTTCGCATGCTCATTTTTAGTTTGAATTTTCTTCTTGTCGCAGGTGGGAACGGGCGTAATTGTGATGAACTTGAGGATTTTGACAAAGAAGTCGGAATTGTGAGTGTCGGTGAATGCATTGTCGATGTTGATTGTCCATCGACGGGCGACGTTTGTATTGATGGAGGTTGTATTCACGACGATCTGCCCCCGTATGTCGTGCGGTCCCTCCCGGCCAACAACTCGTACGCAGTTCCTCCAATCAACGGGGTACGTTGTCACTTTTGGTGACCATTCACTTGGTGGATCCTTCTTCTTTCCCTTCCGGTTTTCTTTGATTGATGAATTGTTTTGTCCACTTCAAGATTTCACTGATTTGGAATGAAAATATTCAATTCACTCGAGCTGGAAGAAAACTTGTTCTTGCGTCGACGGACATTGAAAATCCCCGAAAATGGGAAATGGAAGTGAGGGATCCTGCGAGTTACAAGGTTGCTGAAGCAGGATACTCTATTACAATCAAAGGTGCGTTTGTGTTTCTTCTTGAATATGGATCATGCATCGTTTTCTAAGGGAGAGAGATGGTGATCGTTCCGGATATCAGCATGTCAACATTCCCTGAAGGCAAATACGTCGTTGGATACGAGGGTGGGATCGTCATGGATTTGTCGGAAAACTTCAATAGAGGGGCAATCGATATTCTTTTTGCTGTTTCTAAAACGGCTGGATGTCCCAATCTGTATATCACTGGATACTCAACGAACGAAGTGAATCCCAACGGACTCTACTCGCCAATCGAGCCAATCAACGGTCATGCAGCGTGGAAAGGAGGAGCAAATGAGCCTCTGTATGTCTATTGGAAAGAAACAGAAGCAGAGAGGAATCAACCAGGCAATTGGATTATCTCATCAAAAACAGATGAACGGCACTTCATCGCATATGCAGGCTTGAATATGATGTCGACACTTGGGACAGAGGGGGAGACTCGACCACCAAGTGGGACATGGAAAAAATGGGAGGGGAACCAGTGGATAGAACAACCAGATATTACGATGACATGTAGAGATGCACTCGATCGAACATTCCCAAAACTGATTGAGGTCAGTATTATAAGGTAGAGATGTTGAAGTCAATAATAAGCCAGTTTAATGTAGAGGCTTGAGTGTTATTATAAGCAATGGTAGCGACAGTATCTTCAATAAACCCGTTTCATGGCGAAAGAGGTTTCAGTAAAGTTCTAAAATGCATTTGTCTTTATTTTAGATTTTTCCGAAGATCGGAGGATCATCCGTGGATATCAACAATACTCGAGTGATGATGCGATTCAGTAAACCTGTCACGTATGGACACTGGGCAAGTTTCATTTTTGCGTCGCGTGAGGGAGATCAAAATGTGACGATCAAACCTGATTTCGAAGCAGGTGAGGAATAATGAACAAGTCTTTATATAAATACTGCAAGTCTTTATATAAGTACATGTCATTGATTCAAGTCTTTATATAAATAGATGTCAAAATAGATGATAAATGTCGATGACTGCACACTTTACAGGAATGCGTGGTCGGAACATCAAGACGGATTTCCAAGGTGTTGTTGAACTCAATCTTGAAGGACTTCCAAATCTTATTCCCGGAACAACTTACGACATCATTGGCGAGCTCGGTTGTTTAACCGATCTTTCATACAATCCGTGGGGACCCGTCGATGCTGGATATCTCTACTTTACAACATTTGGAAGTGAGTTTGAAACAATCGCGAGAAATCTTATCAACTGATGCTTGAATTATTGGCCGGAGACTTTTTTGACTTCCGCCTATCTTCATAACTAGCAACTTCGATCAGAGCTGCTTTGTAGCTCTTCTCGTTGATCGAATTCCATTGATCGACTTTCTCTGTCTTTATTTCACTTCTTGTTATTTCTCAGTTGAATGTACCGTGTTTCCGGAATTGGGACCTGCATTTGTAACAACTGGAAGTGGGACAGCCCACGGGACTGCCTACACCATCAACTGTGCTGACGGTTACACGTCTCCTGCCGTTCCTGATTCTGAAGACGATCAAGAGTCCGAAGTAGAAACACCTGAATCGCGCATCGTTCGTTGTGTCGATGGTGCGTGGGAAGAAATTCAATTCGTCTGTTCGAAGGATTGTCCGAGATACTACGAAATGGGTCCGCAATACGTCGTCGATGGAGACGCCGGAACGAACCATCACGGACAAAAATTGAGCGTCACTTGCGCGAAGGATACGGTTATTATCGAGGGGACTGGAAAGGCAGAAACGACATGCAACGATGGGAAGTGGGAGCCGCTTGCGTTGAAGTGTGGTGCAACATGCGGAGCATTTCCGTCCCTGGGATCAGGATACAACGTCGAGTACGATACGTCGTCGTCGCTGTCGTCCAGCGGCAGTACCGTCGTTGGGGGCGCGACGTGTCGTTTCATGTGCTCCACCCGCGAAGGTCGTTGCTGGTTCCGAGCCGGAATACGTTGTCTGCGAGGAACAGGGATGGAGTCCCATCGAACTGCAATGTCATGTGGCGTGCGGCGACTTACCTGAATACGCTGACGGATTCCTTCTTGAAGGAGAAGGAAACGGACACGGAGCGTTCCGGGAAATCTCTTGCATGCCAGGATACAAATCGTTGAGTTCCGGACCAGAGTCGACTCGTGTCGTGTGCAATGAAGGAAGATGGGAACAGACCGACCGACTTAATTGCATGCGAAATTGTGGTGAATTTGAAGCGGGTTCTGGTTTCGTGGTGAAGGAGAAAGAGGGAGAGTATGGAATGCACGGAAGCTCGATCGAAGTGTCCTGCGCCGAAGAAGCGGTCCAAGAATCCGGAGGGAAGTCGGAGATTCTTTCGTGTCAAGATGGAAAGTGGGATTTGGGACACGTCGTCTGTAACGGTCCTTGTGAACGTCCAGAAGTGACTCTTGGTCGCAGTTATGTATCCGAATTGAAACGAGTTACTGAGAGAACGGAGAGCGGACGGTATCCGCATGGGACAACAGGACATCTTTATTGTAGTGCTTCGAGTGATATTGTCAATGGGATCCCACCTGAGTATGTCATCTGCAACAACGGTCATTGGATTCCCGCTAATGGTGAAGAGATGGTGGATCCCTCGCGACGATCCCAACGACGTCCCACGTTGAGGTGCCAACGTGGTTGTGGTCCATTCAGCAAAGATGTTACGCGGTACCAAGATGTTGGCGGAACACAAGTGAACGAAGGACTTGCTAAGCGAGCCGCCCCATCAGGGGCAAGGCGACGAATGGCATGCATGAAGGGATTTTCCCCGGAACCGTCAACGCAGACAGAAGGTGAATTGGTATGTTATGACGGGAAGTGGCTCGAGGGAAAGTTTGAGGATACACAAGATTTTGCGGAGTCTGAGGTTCAAGAATCCGAGTTTACGTGTCTGTCCGTGTGTCCGGAATCAACAATCGCGGAGTTGTTCCAGAAGGGATACGAACTGGTCGATCCGAAGCTGATGAACGCACAACATGGAGAGTCCTTCGAAATCAAGTGCCGGGAAGGACTCGAAAGACGGATTGGGACTCCACGGAATGAAACCTTCGCCAGCGTCACTTGCATCGATGGACGTTTAACGATTTCCTCGACGTTCATTTGTGTCGCTCCGACATGCAGCGACGGAATTCAAAATGGCGATGAAGATCACATTGATTGCGGAGGAAGCTGTCCGACGGCGTGCAGCGCGTGTCAGCTTGGATTGCTGCGGTGCATTCCGACATGTCGTGATCGTGTCCAAAACGGCGACGAAGATGGCGTGGATTGTGGGGGGAAGCGATGCGATCCCTGTCGGTATTGCGACGGACCGCCAATCGATTTCCCCGAAGGAGTCGCATTGAGTGTCGACGGAGGAGTGACGCGTCTGTCCATGAAAGAAGCTGCAGCAACGGAATTTCCTAGCGGTACCAGATTGGACGTTTTCTGCGAGGAAGGATACGAACAAATCTCATCAGCTCCACCCATAGGATTTCAAACGTATCTCTGTGACGGACAGCCAACCCACTGGAGTTTATCCGACGGTTCGAGAAGTCTTGCGCTGAAATGCGGAGCGCCCCGTTGCGATGATGGGACACAGAATGGGGATGAATGGGGTGTGGATTGTGGGGGAAGCTGTCCCAATGCATGCCCAACATGCAATGATGGAATTCAAAATGGAGATGAGGAGTCGATTGATTGCGGTGGTACGCGCTGTCTTCCTTGTAATGACTGTGGAGTGGGTTCATTCAAATCGCTCAATACGGAAGTCGTTAAAATCGAAATTATTTCATCGTCATCATCGAGTACGGAACTGAGAGAACTTTGGGACTTTAGTGGGACAAATCATGGAAGTTTGAGACGCGTCTCGTGTCGGGATCCTTCTTCCCTGTTTACGCTTCTGAAATGCGACAATGGAGAGTGGGAATCAATCGAAGGAGTGTCTTCAATTTATAGTCTGAATTGCAACGGTGGTTCAGTCGACGTCACGGATACTACGAGGCTGGCAGGAAGTCAACTTCAATCATTTCGTATTCCTGAACTCCCGATGCCGAAAGACTGTCCAACAAGTGCGTTGAAGTTATTGGCGGTGGACTCATCGAATGACTCAAGTTGCTGCCAATTAATCCCTCAGCTTCAAGCACTTCTATCAAGCGAGTGTGGGGCTCTTTTGTACAGCAAAAAATCGTCCCAGGTTGCTGGATTTTGCACGGGAACTTGCTACGCTCGCTTTTCAACAATTCTGGAAACGTACAAAAACCAAGAGGGAACAGGATGCGAAGTAGTCGGACCCTTTGAAGAGATGCAAAAGGTGTTTTGCGCTACAGGATCACGCCCGCCAAGCAGCGTCACGCTTCCAGGTTCTTCGTCTGCAACGGACCATCGCTGTTTCTCTTCTGCAGGAGAAACGTTGGATCAGATGAAAGACCTGATTGAACTCCGAGGACAGATTCTGACTGCGGCGTGTGAAGTGAATAGCTGCTTTTCATCGAATCTTCGCTATTTTGAACTTCTTCGCGACGTCGGAAATTCCAAAAGAGACGACTCTCGCCGGAACCTCCGGGACGTCGACATGAAAGATGAAGCAGATGACACCTCGCTTCGAAGTCTGGTGAAGATTTACGAACACATCCTGCAAGACTTCACAACAAACGTTCTCGGAGCTGACGGTCTTATGGACAACAACGATCACTCCGTCAACAGAACAAAGCGTCGGTTATCAGCAGACATCTCAGGATTTCTGTATAGCGCAGCATCGTCCCCATCAGTTCGAAAATTATTTATGGAGAATCGGTACTCGAGAAGTTTACTCCGATTCATGTGCTTGACGGACAGTGATGGAAATTCGTGTGGTAGCGTTGTCCAAAGCATCATGACAAGCGACCATTCAGCTGGATCGAGCTCGAAAACGTGTGGTGATAAATGTGTTCTTGAAGTGACGCGCCATGTGGGACAATCTCTGTATTCTCTCGGTAAAGCAAAAATCGATCCGTACATGTCCATGTTGGGAGTCCTTATGAGAGCTTACGGACGAGTCGTTTGTCAGCAATCCACGACTGGAATGATTTGTGGAGATTTGTTCAGTCCAAGTTTGGTAGCATCCCATTCGGGTGGAGTGGTGGGTGGACTCACTGCAGCAGACCTGGAGGAGCGCAAAAACAAATACCCTGAATGCAGCGTAAGTATCTTCAACAATAGTCCGTAGCTGTGACGACTCTCTTTCATTCAAATTGTCTCCCAATTTGTGTCCAAAGTGTGTCCAATGTCAATCGTCTTTCTCGTCAGTGTCCATTAGCGTATGTGGGAGATGGTCGTTGCGATCTTCAATGTTTCAATCCTGATTGTAATTATGATGAAAATGATTGTTTATTTGCATCGATGTTCCGGACAATAAAACAAAGACTTGATGCCATTCTTCCATCATCGTCCCCATGCCATCCATTTTCTACGGAATTCGTTTGCTCATCGACATCCACTGATGGAGATTGTAGAGCGAAGATTACTGGTGCGTCACCATTCATTTCGGTCACCGTTTGAACTCCTGGAAGCAATTCTTGCCGATTTTTTTTTTTGAGATCCTTCTGTTTTTGACGGTCATTCTGTTTTTTGGGTTTCAGAAGTCATTGAGGAAGATGGATGCTGCGCGGCAACTGGATGGGAAATTTTGAGAGAAGCTCTCGAACTTGAAGTAACGATGCGAAGTCTTGCTGCTGCCCGATATGAAGAAACAACAGGAAAGAAAGCTGGAGAATATTTCTCGCAGACTTCTTTGAACAATCGCCTCGTGCTCGACAGATCGACAAAATGGATCGAAGCGACTTGTCAAGTTCTACTGGATCGAGGATGCTCACGAGGATTGCGACGTTCAGTCGTTCAAATGGAACTTACATTGAGAAATCTAAATTATCAGAAAATTTTTGGAAGTCCGGACGCTTCTATTCTTTCTAATCTGTTAACTGTTCGTCTACGCTCAACCATTTCCGATCTGTTGGCAGTCCCGATTGCGGATGTTGGAGAAATCCGATTTTGGTCAGGGAGTGTGTTTGTAGAGGTGCTTATAGACGCAGGAGCATCAATTCCTGAGATTGTTAAAGTAAGTGACTGACAAAAGATCTCGGCGTATATAGATCGTATATACACCAAGTCTCTGAGTCAAATACAGAATAAGATCTTATCCCTTATTTGATCTCGTCTCTTCATCCTCTATTCACACAGATCTTATCCCTTATTTGATCTCATCTCTCCATCCTCTATTCATACAGATCTTATCCCTTATTGAATAATTGGGATCTATTATCAGCATCATCTTCATCATTTCTGACTACACGTCAATCTATAAACATCTACGCATCTCATCATTTATCTAATAAATCGAACATCAATCCACAATCTATTAACATCAACTCTTCTATGAGATCATTTTTCAACAGGATCTTAAACGCTCTCAATCGTCTAAAACGCTCGATGCCTCGATCAATACGGCGACCCTTCAGTTTTTGACGGAAGCGATTTCAGCTGGCGTTCCACTGACAGACCTTCTTTACAATACGCCAGACGACCACAAACTGCGACGTCTTCAATCTCAACAACCATCTCAGCAAATGCAGCAACTTATGGATTTCAATTTCGTGAAAGATCTCAACTTTCAGTAAGAAGATTCGAGTCATCGGTTTTTAGCGATGATGGTCCTCTGCTGTTTATCTTTTTTATCGATGCTTTCTTAGATTGCACCCAGTACAACTTCCCGCCCTTTCCACCTCAAATGGTCCTTCTGAGGCTCCGATTACGGGAACGCTCGGAATGCCAGGATTCCAAAATTCGCTCACCAATCCAGCCTGTTCCTCTTTTCTCGGACTCTCTCCCCCTCCTAATTTTGCGGCTGCGGAATCATCGGTTTACGAAATCGACCAAAGTTACGGACACGGAACAACACATGGCTCGACACGCCAGGTACGTTGTGCTCGAGGATTCGAACCATCGCTCGTTGACTCTGGACCGTCACCTCAATTCTTGGTCTGCGATCGTGGGCGTTGGGTTACGCCGACTCCCGGAGAGAAAAAGCTTGTTTGTCGGAAGCCATGCGAACCTTACGAAAGCCTTGATGTCGGATTCGACGCGTCCGCCATGACCCTGACAGCTCAAGGAGGAACCTCGGACGGAGCGACGCGAACCGTGTCGTGCCTTGCAGGATACCACCCTGTCGATGGCAGTCAGTCGCCTGAAAAACTCGTTTGTCGGAATGGCGCTTGGGACAGAAGGTCCTTAGCTTGTACTCGTGGTGATGGAACAAATCAAGTGCTGATGAATGCGATGTGTGGAAGTGTCATGTTAAGTGATTCAATCACTCCTAATGATTTTTATTCATTGAAGCAAATTTTATCATCATCTGCTGATGCATCATCGTCATCAAAATCTCCAACCAAATTGACTTTGTGGAGTCTACGGTGTTCACGTGGTTATGTTCCAAAACAAGGTAATTTATTTTTTTAAGAATGGAGTCGTTTTGTCTTGTTTGGAATGGTGGCTTCATAATTTATTCAATTATTATTTGTCTCTCAACTACTTCCTGAAGGAATTTCACTTCTTGCATAAATAATCAATTGATCCTTTCTCTTGCATTCATAACGAACTCTTTTGAAGTCCTTCTCCCTTTGCATACACAATAAATTCTTTGCAGTTCTTTCCCTTCTCTTGTTCTTTCCCTTCTCTTGTTCTTTCCCTTCTCTTGTTCTTTCCCTTCTCTTGTTCTTTCCCTTCTCTTGTTCTTTCCCTTCTCTTGTTCTTTCCCTTCTCTTGTTCTTTCCCTTCTCTTGTTCTTTCCCTTCTCTTGTTCTTTCCCTTCTCTTGTTCTTTCCCTTCTCTTGTTCTTTCCCTTCTCTTCCACATAAGTTCTTTATTGCATTCGTGGTCTTGTATACGATAATGGGACTTCTGGAATTCCTTCGCATCAATCATACTGCATATACATCATACTTCGCATGAATCATACTGCATATACATCATACTTCGCATGAATCATACTGCATATACATCATACTTCGCATGAATCATACTGCATATACATCATACTTCGCATGAATCATACTGCATATACATCATAATGTCTTCGTTTATTCCATCCATCTCGAATACACGATGATTGTCTTTTCGTTGCATGAAGAGTTTGATTGGGACCCTCTGTATTCCAACATTGGGATAACAATGGGAACCAATCAAGGAGTGTTGTCTGTTTTCCTTGCACACATGATGATTCTTCCGTCTCTTGCATTCCTTTCCTTTGGGGCCCTTTCCCCTGCTGACTGCGCAACTCCTTCACTTTTCCACTGAATGCTCTATTCCTTCTTCCATAGCAATTCTTTCAATAGACTATTCATGAATGCGTTGTTTTTTGTTCAGGCGTTGAGCCAATCGCGATGATCTGTGTTAACGATACGTTACTAGCGACGCAAGACTTCGGAGTTGTGGGATGGGAAAGCTCGTCCCCTCGAGGAGAAGCAAGTCATGAGACAAATGCAAAGGATCAACACCTTGAGGCAAAGCAAAGGGCAATTTTGAGGATTTACAACAGGTACGAATAATTTCTTAAAAAGTTCTTAAAAATTTGTTAACATTTCTGCAACTTTTCAATTCTTTGACGTCAGCCGCAATCTTGAAGGAGAGAATCTGATTCACGACTTCAGCAGTGGGGGACATTTTGATTTGATGGAATGCCAAGCGGATATTCGAACTCCACCGAAGTTGGAATCGTCCCAACCAGGACTGCCTGAAGCGGTTCTTTATGTCATCATCTTCGGATCCGCATTCCTTCTGATAGCATCATTGATGCTCGCCTACTACATGAAGAGGACAAAGTGTATGAAAGTACCGTTCTTTGATCACGAGCATATTGGAGAGCATGACGAGAAAGAAGAAAAGAAAACGGAAGACATTCATCGAACACGTGCCGGCGATGATGACAGTGATTCGCCGAAGTCATCGAGTCGAGGAGTCGATGGTCGAAATAATCGAAGAAAATCATCTCGAAAAATGACAAATATTATGTCTGCATCAGAAGAGCAAAATAGTCGGGATCATGAAGGGCAATCATCGAATCGGTATTACACGCAGAGCAGCATTGTGCGAAGTCCCAATGGAGGGAATGACGAGGATCATCGAGAGGACAAACGTCTTGCTTCTTTGCGTCGACAGAAGCATCTGCAACATCAACTTGCAGTAGAGCATGAAAGTGTTCTTATCACGAATGATGCGGTGAGAATTGAAAGAAACAGACGATCAGAATCCAATCACATGAGTTCGTCCATTAAATGGAAGCAATCGAGCATTGAATCGGAAGACGATCAGTCGGATGCGTCGTCGATGTATCCACGGAACGGACAGACGGAACATCGTCGACAAGAAACGCGAGGTCGAACCAATCGACTCCCACCGACACGCGCGGCAGCAGAAACCTCTTCATTTGACGAAGATCCCTGCAGTTCTGCGTTTGAAGGTGAAAGTGGACCTTCCTTCTACAGTGAGTGAAAGCGGATGATGATTGTTGATTTCACTTGGTGTACGTTGTTGATGAATCTAGCTCGCGACTTTTACAACTACAGGCGAAGTCGAGATGGATCCTGACCGTCTGCGGGAGTATCACTCGAGGCGGCCAGAAATCAACCGCGAAATCATTACGAATTTGAAGTTGTGGTCTCAAAATGCAGAAGGAGATCGAAAGAATGACACAAAAACGTTCCACAAAGAATCAACGTAGATCATGATTATCTATAGTGATAAACTTGATGACGAAAACTATCTATGCACATTTTTATAATTGCTTTTTTGAATTACTTGCTACTTGCTAAACTTCAATGAATATCCACCGAATGATAATGCTTGCACGAACATTTCGGCTGACCTGGTCCTCATCCTGATCTACAGATTAAATAGTTAAGTCCTCCAATTTCCTCTCATTGCAAATAATGGATATCGCCTCTCAAATCGCATGATGACGCTCACGGTCACCTTATCATTTCAAAAGCCCTCAACGTCAAGAGAACCTTCCGTTAACTCGTTAGAAAGCGAAAATTTTAGGTAGACTCCTATGGCTTTCATTTCTTGATCCTTATTTATTGCTCCAAGTTCGTCGGCAACTTTTAACTTTTCTCATTTTTGAAGATATCACCAAATTACACTTTTTGTCATTTAATCTACACGTTCCCGAGTTATCATTTCTGATTCCCTCATTACGCTTCCCATCAGTCATTCCCATTCCTGATTCCCACATTACGCTTCCCATCAGTCATTCCCATTCCTGATTCCCACGTTACGCTTCCCATCAGTCATTCCCATTCCTTCCCATTCCTGATTCCCACATTGCGCTTCCCATCAGTCATCGCACCCTCTGCCTCTCATTCCCCTTAAGGCTCTAGCAGTTCGGGGTTTCTTTTCTCGACATTCCCATCTTACGCCAGTTTTTTGGTCTTCAAAATGGGGTGTGTCCAAGCTCGACGGGCTGAAGGGGCTATTGGGGGCCCTCCAGCGACTATCACCCTCGGTGGTTACGGTGGACGCTCAGGATCAAAAGGCCAGGGATACCAAACGATGGCACCGGATCCAGGTAGGCAATCAGATTCTGAAAATATCTTTTGATCATTGTCGCACTTCGAACCCTCTTTTCACGGTAGCAGTAGTAGTCACTTACTGTTGCAGTGCTGCTCGTATTTGTTAATTTTTCAATAGATTTGGGGTGGCGTAGACTCTCCAGTTCTGTTGCTATTCCTGTTGGAGGGACTGCAAACGGAACGATCTGTAACGATCCCACCGAGTGGATTTCTTCCTCGCCGCCAAATGGAAAAGCCCGTCCAGACACCGCCCTTTACCCTTGTCTCCACGCATGGAGCCTGTGTCTGTTCAATGACCGTTCCGGCCATTTTTGTAACGTTTCAATCGTGACTCTTGCAATCAACATCGCTAAGAGAGCCGAATGTCTCGCCAAGGCGTTTGGGATTGTCAACGATCCTGATGTATTTAATCAACGGCAGAGTTCGATTTCATCGATGGATGAGGGTGGAGATGCACCAGATTCTCAGCATAAGGTTCGATGATGATAATGATAATGATGACGAATGATAATGATGATATTTATGCGTTGGACATGCGTTCCAGTTGTGTCCCAATAGACACTCCTTTTTCAGATTTATGCTGCGCTGCGTGTTCCGGATGCGGGTTGGCGATTAGTGTCTCGACGGGCACATGAATCCGGAGAAAGTGCTTTTTCAGTTCCACAGCCAAAGAGAAAGGGATCTGTTAATGGAAAGACAAAAAGCGATAAAAAAGTGATTCAAATGATCCGCCGAGGGACGAATGGGGAACCAGTTCTTGCTGATGTCGCTGAAATTGGAATGAATATCGCCGAACAATTGTACCGCTTAGAAAGGAGAAATGATAACAGACATTTTCTTCCGAACGATTCATTTGGATGGAGATTCAATGAAGGAATGGAAATGGAAGTTCAGTTTCGTGTCGCTGTAAGTTGTTGTCTCGGAGATTATTGAATTTTATGTCAATCATCGGATTTTCTGGAATGTCGTTCCCTTCCAATCGTCATCATTTATTGCTGGTTTTGTTTGTATTTCTTTTAGGTGTCAAGCCCTGAGGGAGAAGCATTTTGGTTGGTCCCTGAAGAATTGGTAATGAATGTCACTCAATGGGTTCAACAGACCTATTTGACTTCCACTGCGTTCTAAGTGTTCAGACAAAAAGGGATGATCATTGAAATTCTATTTCGCAAACTAGGTGTTGAAGATGAAGTAGAAGATGAAGTATAAATCTTCAGCTCAATGCCGCAGCGAGCCCTTCAAGCAACATCGGATGTGATTGCGCATCGTGGATGTTGGGAGTCTTTTTTCTTTTTCATCAATTATTTGCACGAAAAAGATCAAAAGTGAGAAAATCAAGCGGACCACTATTTCTGTTTCTTTGATTCATTTTTTGATGAGGATTGAAAGCAACGCAAGAAATGAGACAAATTAAATTTCCCCAAACGATTGACTGCCATCGATGCTACGAATGAGGTAGATGCGATGCTTCTCCATCCAATTTTGGATTTTAACTCAGAAGGAAGAAAGAAACTCAAAAAATAGACAATAATACAAACTGCGATCTGAAAACAAAAAAGAAATGAACCAAGAAATCAAGTTGGGACATACTCTTCCTTGGGACAACACTTTCTGCAGTAGTCTCAAAGCTGCTGATTGCTTTTTTGCACTCGAAGCTTCTTTGACTGATTCAGACGGAGATTTTTCTTTGCCGTTCAATGTCTCTAATTGACGTTTTTTCACGTTGAGTTGTCTCATTCCTCGCGCATATTCAACAAATGTATCCGGCGAATTCAAGAGTTCGAGTCGTCTCTCCTCCTTCTGAATCTCTGCTTCAAGTTCTACCGCTTCCTTGCACTTTTCCACATTTTCCTTCCCTTTTGGTTGTTTGGTCTCAATGTGTTTCCGGAGAAAACTAAACCCCAATTCTAGCAGGAATACAGTCACAAGCAGAAGCGAATCTCCAGATCATTTTTTCCTGAGCTCCACAACATTCTCAAGAACTGATGATTCAAAAATGGGAGGATTGATTGGACCTCCAGAACTCGACCACCACACCTGTTGATTAAGCAAGTGTCCTTAAATTCAAATATCGAAAATATATTTTCGACACAAAGGAGGTTGAGAGAGTTCAAAATTAATCTTCTCTGGAGGTTTAAGAATTATTTATCCCCACCTGTCGCTTATGCGAACGACTTCAGCGACAGCAGCAAAAGTGAATTGTGAAACGGGACCAATTTCGTTGTCAATTCGGTGTCTCCCGGATTGTTGCGACCCAACACTCAGTGCGGATAATAATGTCCCAATCTTAGAATGGGACCAAGAAGTTATTCCTCTTCTCTTCCGCAGCAATCAAGGCGATGATCTCTCAACTGTCCTCAAGAACGCTCAATCGTATTCCTATCTCTCGATTGGACGACGGCCTTCTTGCACGATCCGTCTCAGCGATCCATCCATTTCTGGCTTCCATTGTCGCCTTGTGACTGTTCGCTCGCCGTGTGTAAAACGCTCCCCAAGTGAAGAACGCGATGCCGAAGAGAAAGAGAATACAACTCCAGGAATTTCATGTTATTTGATCGATTCCAGCACAAATGGGACATTCGTTGATAACATCAAGATTGATAGGGATCTCCCCACATTAATCTCTTCTGAAAATCTTATTTCATTAGGACGAGGAAAAATCACCGAAGAGGGGGAAAAATTTCACACATTTGCGTTTACTCACAAAATTTTACCAATTAATGTGAATCAACCATCCGCAATTGTTGAACTCGAAGCTACAAATAATAACGGGGTCAGTGATACGAACAGTCCTCTCATCACAGCGAAGGACGATGAGGGTGTCCAACCGACAAATCGTGGATTCCAACTGTCAAGTTCCGTCGAAACACAATGTCCGATCAATCAGGAGGATCCTATGTCCAGATGGTCGACTCCCCAACGCAATCCACCCCAACTTTTGTCGATGCGGTCCACCATCCCACAACCGACCCACCGAGAACGTCCGGAACAAAGTCAACTGACATTCCAAACTGCAAACCATTCAGACATCCGAAAGATCTCAATGGGGGGCGAATCCAAGACCAACGACTCAGCAGCGACGACGAGTTTCCGTCCGCCAGACTCTCAGGTCTTCTTCCAGTCACCTTCTCCTCTTCGAACAACTCCACCGCCGCCATCAGCAAGACATTCAGCGCGTATTCCAAGAATTACCAGTGGAACAAGGGTGCCTGCCGGAACCTCATGTCCCTCAATGGAGTCCCAAATTGCGACGGGGCCCTCCTGGAATGACAACCTTACGGACAACTTCTTCTTCGACAACTGGAGGTCGTCTGGCGGATCTTGTTAAACGCCTTCAGGTAAGCTTGATTCAATGTGAAGTGGTCTTGTTGATGTTGGTGTAAGAGCACAGAATATATTTGACTGAGTTCTTATTTGATTTAAGAGCCCAACTCTATAAAGACAAATAGACGCGTCAAGAAAATGTCGCTCGAAAAAACTATTGATGAATTGATCTATGTCTTCCTCATTCTCCTGATGTTTGTCTTCTCTTATATTTTTATTCCTCATTTTTTAATGATAGGAAGAATCAATGAAAAAAGATCTTGAAATCGCGGAAATAGCAGAAGAATTGGAACGTTCTGAGAATCTCCGATTACAATTGAATTCTGAATTAATGGATGAGTTAGAAGAAGCGCGGAAGTGTGTCTCACAATCTGAAGCGAAGGGACAGCAACTTCAGCAACAGGCAGAACAGCTCGCGCAAAAAAACGGCTTGCTTGAAAGAAAATTGGAGGCGTCGCGATCTGAGCTTGAAACGAGCAAGCAACAACTGGAAAAAGTGGCGGCAGATTACAATTGCAGGTTGTCAAAAACCGAGGAATTGCTTCATCAGGCCAATCAGCGGAATGAGCTCATTGAAAGGAAGTTGGAGACCTCAAGAATGCAGGCGGAGACGTTGAAGCAACAGATGGAGCAATTAAATCTGGACTATGAAAATCGGTTGTTAAAAGCGGAAGAACAAGTTGAAACCACTCAGACTGAATTGAGACAGGCAAGAAGTAAATTACGGGAGTTTGAAACGGAAGTGCAACAATTAATGCATCAGAAGACTGACTTGGAAAATAGGCAAAATGAATGGCTTCAAACTGAGGCCATGCTCGAAACAAGACTGAGCAGCTTTGCGCAAGATTCTAGAAACTCCGAAGAACTCAGACAGAAACAGAACAAAGTCATTGAACACATGCAAGTAAGAACTTGCTTCAATGCAGTCGGATTGTGACTATTTTCATGCCTTTTATAGGAGACAGGATCTCGAATAGCGGCATATTTGAGAGCTGCGTTAGAGTTGTCAACCGATTTCGATTGCGACAATGAAGTTCAGAACGACCGTAGGTTATTTTCCAATCTTAGCAGCCCAGATTCAACATAACAATCTGGTTAAAAAACTTTACTAGTGACGCAACATGTGTTGACATCCATTTAAGTTAAACTTAATTCATAGATTTTTAATCTTGAGCTCAATTAACTTGATTCCGATAGACTTTCAAATTTGAGTCAATCTGATTGCTGTTTGACAGAAACTCCAAGATCAACTCAACTGTTTCAAGATCAAAAAGAAACAGAAGCCTCGACATTTCGAAGTGAGCTTCACAAACTTCACCATTTTGTTTAATAGAAGCATTTTCTCGAAGGCTGTTGGTCTTGCATTTCCGCTCAGGGCTGTTTGAAACCTGAAGTTCTTTTATCGATGCAAATCCCAACGACCCAAGTCGCAACAACACAAATCTCAACGACCCAGACTGTCGCTGAAGATCCGACTTCTCCAATGACGCTGGAACAGTCCCAACGTGAGTAGAAGGTCTATGGACTTCCATGGCTTTGAAAAAAATAAAACAAAAAAATCTGTTGTAGGATGATCCAACGAGGGATCGAAGCCCTCCGCCTGAGGCAGCGTCGGGACGTTTCAGACACAGCATCAACAGATGAGATTGAGGATGAAACTGACGGATCTGAATCAGATGATTCTAAAGAGTCGCAGCAACCGAAAAAGCGTCCCCTAGGTGAAACAAAATCTCTCCACTCCATCATCATCATTAGTAGAACATCATCATCTCATAATTCATATCATGATCATCTCATAATTCACATCCGTGATGCACCAGTCTGTCTCTTTGGCGTGAACTGCATATTTTTCATCGATTTCAGATTCGGTGCTTGAAAAACGGCCACGAAAACGGCAACGACTTTCTCAAGCAGATGAATTAAGAGAAGGAGAAAGTGTTGCGGAAAGCATTGAGCGTAGGTTTTCCGACAAGTAGTGAAGTGGGAACGCAGCGGGAGCCAAGAGTAGCCGAGAGTCTATCTGGTGGGGAAGACTCCACAGTTCCTCCTTTCTTGACAGAAACAATTTCAAATGAAGGTGGAATGGTCGACTGTGGATATTCTCAACCTCCGAAACAATTAGTAAACAACAACTCAACAATTGAGGGAAGTTGGGGTTTCCTCTAAGCGAAGGAAAGAAAAAGAAAGCCAAAGAAGAACGATTCAAACAGAAGACTGGCGAGTCAGAAAATCATTTGAGATTTTCGAAGAGAAGAGTCTCCATCGATCGCAGAAGGACTTTTATTGATATGAATTCTATTGATGACTCCAACAGTCAATCAATTCAGAAAGAAAAAGGGGGACGCTACTTGAGGTATTGATGCAATTTGTGGTGAGAGTGAAAGTCCTTAGACGAAAAGAGAGTGAAAGTCCTTAGAAGGAGTAGAATAGATGATCTTCCTTAGAACATCCGAGTATTTCAAAAAAAAACACATTATCTTTGTTGTGCAAATACAGAGCGCTGAGTGAATTCGAAGTGGAGCGAGTTGACTCGTTCAGTTTTTTTTGTTATTGCTCCTGAATTTGCAAACTGAAGTTGCATAAATTGAAGAAGCGCCCTTCTAGTCGAAAAAGCATCGTCCTCAGTTCAGTTGGCCTTTGATCCTCTCTGGCAAATACAATACATGAACCAAAAATAGGAGACAAATAATAAGGGACTCACACCAAATCCAGAAATTTCGTGGCAATCCCTTTGAACCCCTTTTTGGCCCTCTCAGCGTCCTTGCCTCTCAAAGCATCTGAAAAGCGGACGATGAACTCCATCTCATCGCTCTCATTGAACGAGACGGTCTTGAAGATTTCCTCTCCTGGTGGTGGGGGTGTGTCTCATAGGAGGACAGTTGGTCATGGCACAAAACAACGCTATCACGAAATGCTCTGCCTCGAAGGTCTGCGAAACCCAAAAGTGAAGCGGGAGGCAAAAAGAAAAAAGTGATGTGATTTTTCACACCAAAATAAATAACTTTTGCAATATTTTCCAGCCCCTCTATCGCTACAGCGAACTAACCGGATTTTTTTTCATAGTTCAAAATGTGTTGCATCGCCCAATAGGAGTTGTCATCTCTGAGAGAAAAATGAACGACCGCTTGGATTGTTGCTCTTCCCACATGAGTTTCTTCAAATTAGGAAACAAGCGATCCCGAGAAGTTGTCCTGAAAGCGTGTCGCGGGAATATGAAATCAGTCTACTGATGAAAGACAAACCAGTTGGAACTCACTTGAAGGGAAAAAATGCATTACAACCAAGAGAGACAAGATAAGCAAGGTGTCTGTTATTTGTCATTTCGCGCTCCAGCTTGTCTTTCATGATCGAAGTTTTGATCACCTCGCCCTTTTTTGTTGTTATGGTTGGAGCGTTCTTGAAACAAGCCTCCAGAAATTTTTTCAATAAGACGCCCTTAACGACGAACTGTTCTGGGTCAATTGGCCCCCAAGGGGACAACATAGATGAGAACTCCACCAGAGATGCAACACATCTGTAAAGAAAAAACACTTGTTATTCCATGCTGGAGTATTCAAGGCATTGCCGTGTACTGACTCATCTTCTATCGAAGCCGGCCCCACATTAATACGATTGCTTGCAAGAGTGCCAATCTTTCTGGCTTTCCCGCTCAATTCAGGTACTAGAGCAGAACAAGCCGTTAACCTGTAAGATTGAGTTCTAACTGGCGGTGCGGAGTCGGATGGAAGCCCCCGCGATTTGAAACTCAAGTTCCCTAAACAGAAAAACGGACCATCCCATGGGGTTCTGAGAGACGAAATAAAAACAAAATTAAACTCTTCAAATATTCTCCTGGAGTTGTTGCCTGGCCTGGTGGTCACTTCGGCGTCCTGATGTCAAATAGTTTGGGTCCCATTCATGTGTTGCGGACTTGCTAGACGACCAAAAAAAAAGAGATCAACACTAGAAAAAAAACCACCATTCATAAATAAATGATTTTCGACAACAGCTGAATCGCAACAGCAACATCGGTAGCGATCCATTCGCAACGGCCTTTGATGTTGAAAGACACTTTATAGAAAGACACTTTATTGCTGGTCAAGTCTGTCCGCACGACTTTTTTCACTTCAGACACGCTTGGATTGAAACAAGGCTGGGGCGACCCCAAGAACGACTCCCTCCTTTCCGTCTGATGTGGAGTATTCTTCGAAGCTTCTTGGCTGCGCGGAGAACAAACTTCTTCGAAGGCCTTTGTCTTGCATTCCATTGACGGCCGAATTGCATCAACTGCAACTTTCGACGGCTTCGAAGCGCGGTGTCTTTTCAAGAAACCGCGAATTTGGAGGGCAGCCTGAGCAATTTGTTCCCTCGTAAGGTTCCCCGATCCTTCTTTTTTCGAAATACGTCGGGTCTTGTTGGTTTGACTGAAAAAAGGTGACTTCAGTTGCAGCATTGACTTGTCGTCGAGTCAACTGTTCAACTATTGACTCACATCGCCAGGGCCAGAGGAGAAAATGTCCCGGGTGATGAAGAATCGGTAGAATGTCTCAATAAATGGAGGGAGCGAGATTCTTTATTGCGACTCGTTGATGCATCGTTGTCATCTGCTTTCTTTCTTGTACTCGCTTCACGCCCCTCACTGTCTTGATTTCTGTGGAACTGAATGTATCTGCAGATGATTTCTCATGTGGCGGGTGAGATGCTACATTCGGGAAGCTTTCCTCGTTGAAGTGCGCAAACTTCCATCTGTTTCGCAGGATTGTTCTCCAAGCACTGTTGAGATGCTCACAGGACTGTCGCTTGAAAAAAGTCTTCAAGAATCCGGTGCCAAGAAATAGTTCTTGAGGTGTTTGATTTAAATCTGAGAAATGGTCCACCAAGTATTGGAGACGTCGCTTGCCAAAGAGAGCGGGCCCATCAACAGAGGGAGGAGGTCCGGTGGAGGCTCCCATTACATCAGCGAAATGCAAGACGCAATGCTTCACATGGTCTGTGTAGTCTTGTGAGTTGAAGAAATGTGCCAATGCTGTGATGTCACGCTCTGGAAAAATCTTCTCTGCCCAAGACTCGCTAAAAAAGCAATAGAAGGGTAATATGTATCAGCTCAAACGACCTATAGATGATCTGGATGGTTTTCGTAAACGCTACGAGAACACTTGTGGCTAGGCCATCCGAGCTGCCGAGGCGTTCCTGAAATACGGTTTCCCTGAGACGAACACGAAGGTTCTTGAAGTCAGTTGAGAGGTCATCAAGAACGTTGTCATTGGATCTCGTTGTTCCTTCGAAAATATTCCCAATGAGGCTTTGCAGGGGTTTCTTGTTGTCGTCTTCCTTTGCCTGCTTCTCTTTTTGAAGACACCGCTGGTTCTTCCCTACGGCTGCCCGGTTGAGGTGGAATCACTCTTCAAGAATTCAACGCTTAGTTCTTTTTCTTCATGAACGATAAATTCCTCTTTTGCAAGTGTAGCCTTGATGAATTTTCGGAGCAGATTGAGACCCTCTCGCCATCGTGGGGACTCTTTTGTGCTTGTTGACGCATAGTCATCAGCAATGATCATAACTTTCGAAAAGACTTGTTGGTTGGGGCATACCAGAGTTGTTCGAGCCATTTCGGAATACCGTCTCTGAACTCAGACTCAATAATCTTGAGAGCAGCCATACACGATCAGGATTGTTCAGCACCAACGTTTCCATCGCCTGAAAATTATGAAATGGGAATAAAGGAGATTTCAAATAATCATAAACGTGCCATTCGCGCCTGCTCGCTCCCTACTCGCTCCATTGGTCGTTTTTGCTTCCGAGATTAATGAGATTGACTACCGCGTTCTTTACATCCTGAAAACACATGAAATACAAGGGGTCGAATGAACAAATGGTTTCCAAAGCAGATAGTGTGAAATGCAGGGGGTCGTCTAGCTCTCACTTTATCAGGGTTTCAAGAAACTTCTGAAAAACTGCTTCCCAGATTGCCAAGCCATGGCGGAGTGAACCTCTTCTTGAACGTAATCGAGAAATTCGTGGGGGGGTCATGGAAAGGTGCCGAATTGCAACAAAGTTGAGAAAGACCTTCATCATTCCATCAGCGCAAGAGACAAAACCATAATTTCC